TTTCATTTACCAGTTGTCATGAGAAATATAATCATAATTCGGATCACTGGCGAATACAGAATACCATGTGTTTTGCTTAATTAATTAAATAATCAAAGCCCCATATGTACACTTACAAAATAAATCTGTTCCCCCCATCAGCCTATGGACTTTTCAGGCCAATATTGCCCGTTAGCATTTGTTTAAACAAGCAAGGTGCTTACCAGTTTTGACCTTCAGGGTATCATCAGCAGAGTTAGCCTCGTTATACCAATCTTGCAGGTTTACCAGATGTTATTGGAAAGAGATCTACAAGAATGGGGGGGATCTATTCAAGTAAAAAAATGAAATGTATATAAATGAAGAACATGCGTGTTGTTTGACCAGTTATTGTTAGCGGTTGGGATTCAGTGTTTTTTAAATGAGCTTAACCATATGGAAGAAGGGCTTCTAAAAACATAATATACTCACAGATTGTATGCCATTCTAGGTCCATTTCTGCTGAAAATGTTAAGGCTACTTGGTGTAGAGGGCTCAGGATTTGTTTGGCACAGAGGGGTTAATTTGGTATGCATGTTTTAAACATTTAAAGTATCCAGTCGAGAAGGGAATGGAAAAGTGAGGCTTTTGTGTTTCGTTGATGAACTGGTTAGAAAAGGCATGAGAATTGCAATCTGACCCAGGCCGTGATTTTAAAAGGAGAATTTTTTTTTTACTAAAAGAGAAGCACTGTAAGGTGATGGAAATGTTGAACAACACGTGGCCAGGAAAAAGCTCTGCTCAACAAATACACTGATACATGTTCGGTCCTGATACATGCACATGTGTCAAAGTCGTCAACAGACTGGAAAATGTGTCCACCTGTTTTGTCCGTGTCCGCCTCCATCAGTGGTGGTGCCAGCCTATTTGACGGCCATGAGGAAAAAAAACACTTTTGGCACCCCCTTTGCAATTTAACGAGGAATAGATACATAGTGATATATGAGAAATGTAAAAACATTATATATAGCGAGGTGAGATAAGAGAGATGCATGAAATATAGAGGTGAGATAACTGACTTGGCTTCGATGTGTTAATTAACTTGCTGTGTTTATTAAGATGTCCATTTCAGCTGACATTTGATGCACCCTTATTATTGTTTTCCATGCACAGAGTCCCTTGAGCTACTTAGGGCCTTACGCCTTTTTTCTTGCTTGGCTTGCTTATGCCCATCACCACCACCACCGCAATTCATCTCAGAACACTTTCACATGTTTTTCACACGCAAAACACAATGCCCCGAAAACGATGTGCATGCAAATTGTTGCACTACTTACCAACACGATTACCAACATAATAATTAGAAAATGTATTTCTACTCCAGTAATTCCATGACCTATATACCTCCTTTTCACAGATGTCGAGCATCGCTATGGGTTTGGGGAGAAAACTATCCATATAATACTTGCAAAAAAGTCATTTCACAGAAATTAAACATCGCATTGCATACCAGTGCGACAAACGCGCATGTGTGGGCGTCAGCTTCCGTGCATAATAGCAACGGCAATAGCCATCGACCGCCCTGAGCGCAACTATTTGGTTATAAAGATACAGTCCTTAAATCTTTAACAAATTGAAGGCTCTCTTAATTGGCTAGATTGCCAACTTGTTAATTGATTTCTCGTGATGCTTTTTTTTTTTGCCAAGGGAAATAACCCGTAGCTGACAGTAATCTGTGCTAATATGCAGCAGTGTATTATTTACATCAAATTATTCGTTTGTGTGCAAATGCACCATTCGGTTATAGAACAGTGGTCTCCAAATAGAGTACCATTTTAATAGAACGCATAACTGAATGCAACCGAACAAGAATCCCAAAATTGATGACGGACAAGACACTGTATTTTTCCGAACATTATTGAGACAGTCTAATTGTGTCTGCACTGAGAATGATATTTTAAGGCATAATTCTAGAGCAGCGTCAGCAGATATAGTCTATGCCAGATCACATTTTTGACACATGCTTCATATTGCATTGGCTCACCATTTTTAATGTGCTTAAATTACAGCTTTTGTTAAAACACGTGACATTTTATCAAAGAATAACAACTAATGTTTGCAAATGGGAAGAAAAAAACATTTACCAAAAGCCATTAACATAGACATAAGAGCATTAACGCAGTGAATGAATAACGCCGTTAATACAGTAATTTGTGACAACATAATCAGTGTTGTTATTTAAGACATCACCTAGCCCTGCTGGTGTCGGTACATCAAGCTGTAAACATTGCCGTCTTACGCCACAAGGTGGCAGAATTGCATAGAATGAAAGGTCATTCCACGAAGAGAAATTCATTTTGCAAGAAATACTTGAATGAGAGTGCTTATTGTCACACGCAAACAGTGCATTTTCATGCACGCATGCATGCAGACATGCCTGGACAAGTAGCATACGTATTAATAGTATAACTGTTACTGCCATTAGAATTAAAACGTATTATTATTAGTGTTGGTGTTTTGAAAGCACAAGTGATGCTGCATATTGCATCGTGCTGCTAACATTGCACGCATTGCCACTGCTTGATGACACAAAACATTGAACAAGCCTCAGGGAGCATCCCAGCCCTATATTAAGCGCTGGTTAAACACACACACACAACACACACAACACAACACACAAACTGGCTTTTGAAATGCCTCGTTGCCGTGTGCGTTTACAACGTGGAGTGTAATGATTGCACAGCAATTTTCATACGTTCGCCCGCGTTGGTCCAACAACGCCTGTGAACATTCCATATACATTACATAGCATTGTGTACGTGCATTACATTGATATCAATGTATACGTAATTGTGCATACCGATTTGTATACACTTATAAAACAATATTACACGTATATATCCCAAACCATAGGTATTCAGTAATAGCAATACATGTCATAGATATATCTGCATAACCCGAATTATGAATGACTTGGTGTTTACTGGTGATCTTTTGGCGGCCTTTGGTCTGGCACTCGTGAGATTTCGTCTGTAAAATTGCCTGTTTCTAGTGCATGCCAATCAGTTTAAAAGAAAGGGCATCGATCATCAAAGTGTGTTTGTTTGCATGTTTGATTTATAAGTACCTGTGGTTCATGCGGACTTGATGATGACTTTAAAAATGTATCTATTTGGGAGTTTGAACATCTTAACACCTCCTGTATTTATTCCAGCAAGGGTAAAAACCCCTTTTTTGTATCATTCAATATCTTGATACTGCCCAAAGGATCCCATAGACAAGTTATACTCATCTATACAAAAAAATGTCACACTTGAATGTGTTAAATGTACATGTTATACAATCATAACATTATACCGCATTATAATAACATGCAATAAAGTAGAGACTACCGTATGTCCAATGACAGTATCGTAAAAATATAGTCAAAGTATATTAATATTGCCACAAGTTTGCTTGTAAGTTATATACACACGTAACATTACTATAACGCATTACATAATACGCATTTGCTATGATGCATACTAGGCGAAGCACATTGCTATGAGTGCCTGCTGTATAAAACTAAAAGCCAATACAGCACTGCATGCCATACTGCAAGTAACATTGCATGCCTTTTATATTTTGCTTTTACTGTCAAGCACCCACACAGCGTTGCCTTTTCTATATACACACACACACACCCATTGACTATATATGGACTATACATTATATATGCCCATGGTTTTATACTGTGTGTATATATTGTGTATATATTATATACACACAGCAGTGAGCGAGGCTGTACGCAGGGTTTCGTTGGGATGGAGGAGTCGAGTGGGTAGAGGGGGAGGAGGGAGGCGGATTTCAAAGCCGACCAACATCACCCGACACGCGCTCCGCTCACTGTGAAAGCGCCCTCGGTGCGGACCGCTCGCAACCCACCCGTGCTCTTTTTTCGATCATTGCCGCCACCACCAGCAGCAGCAGCAGCACCGACGTCGCTCCTCTGTCTCCCTCCCTCCCCTATTCGTTCTCTCCTCTCTCGTCTCATGCCGAGTTCGTGAATGTTAATGACCAAACACCCCATCGCGCTCAGGGCTGAATCAGTCGGTCAGTATCGTCTTACCTGTCTTGTGCGAGATGCTGGTGTCTGTGTGCGCGTGCATCTGTTGTGGAGCAAGCCTCTCTGTGTGCGTCTCTCGTACGCACAGCAGGCTTATGAAGTCGTAGTGTATGTGGGTGTGTGGAGTTTTGCCGCTATAGGTGTGCTATACCTGTGTCCGTGTGCACATGTCGGTGATGATTGCCGGTGTCTCGTGGCACGTGGAGTAGGTTTCTCTAAAGCGTTCGTAGTTTTAAATGTCGCGGAGTTAAGCTGCCCATTTCTCACCGAGTCCATCGAAGTCAGTCCCCGTAAATGTTTCAATATCCTCGCCTCTCATCGAGTCGGAGTATTTACCTCCGACTAAAATAGCCTCTCGTAGATTCATAGCGCAGCATCCTCGCTCAGTATAACATCAAGCATCGTGTCACAGTCCGTGTATACACAACACACACTCATCCTCTGCCTCTCTCCCTCTGCAACATATTGATCAGCCACCGGGCACCGCGCCTGCTGGAGCATCTGTGGGATTATGCTGTCCCCTTCACAAGCGCAAGTCGTCTCCCGCTCCTCTCCAGGTAACGCAGCCTTTTCGCCAGTACGCACGAAGGGGTGGGTGGCCAGCACCACGCCCGGCCGCCTTTGTCTCCCTAGCGGCGATGTTTACACACCGCAGCAGGTACTAATTTCGGGCTGAGTCGACCTAGGGGAGGCCCAGGACCGGTACAGATAATCGTCACCTGGTGTTTGACCGTGAGCGGGAATCGACCTCGGGTGGCCAGCAAACACACCCGCACACACACGCACACACAGCCGCACACACTCGCACACACACACATCCGCACACACACCTGCACACACCCGCATACCCGCACACACACACACATCCGCACACACACCTGCACATACACACACACCCGCACACACACACACACCCGCACACACACCCGCACACCCACACACACACACACGCACACCCGCACGCCTACAACAGAAGGGCCCTCTCCGTCGATCACATGCAGAGTCCGCAATTAGTGACACCCCGACAGACGCGGCGGTGTCGTGCACACGTGAACCTGTGGGCAAATTGGACCAAGCTACCCACCTCTACGCAGCGCTACGCTCAAACGCATGCGTCAATAGCACTGCCCTAAGTTGAATGCTGTATTTTAAATATAAAATAGGTGACGTTTCGGACAATGACCCTGCTTTATGCAGACGGATGATATCAATAAATACGCTGCGGATGTCTCACCGCTATGGAGAAGTACCAGTGACCGAAACGTCGCCTGTCATGTGTTTTTCACCTTCCACAGCAGACGAATTTGTCTATGTCATGTTTTGCTCGCGCACCACTGCCAACGGATGATCACACTTTGTTTTGCTTGCTTCCGGACGAATATTGTTTGCCGGCTCTAATGATCTTGCACTACTACGACTCTAACTATGCATTTGATGCGATAGCTGCACAGGATTGCTGTTTGTACACAGCTTCGTTAACCAGTGTTGCCAGCACAGTAATAATGATAATACTGTCCTTTGGGTGCGAAGGAAAACATTGCATTGTCACCACTTCTTTAAACTTGTATACATTTGATGATGATGATGATCGTCATCATCACGATTATCCTCGTAGTGCATGCGAAGTGGTGATGCATTTTTAATGTGCAGAGCACGCATTGTGGCTGCCATGAGCGCAATTCGTTCTTGTGCGCATGAGTCATACATAAATGCATGAGATACACATATAAGCTCATACGTATAAGCAGTCTCATTAATTTGAGTTCTTGCATTTGTGAGCTGTCAAACGCAATGGCGATGTTAGCTGTGGGGGTAAAAAATAAAAAAGATACGCGTTTACATACACGTACACTTTTAGATTTGCGTTTGGAGTTGACCTGATGTTTGTTTTTTTAAGTGTGACCAAGCACGATAGCCTAAGTCAAGAATGTATCTGCTTGGTCAGGATTTGTTGTCTTGCTTAGGTGCGAGCATTAACCTTTCCGTGCCAAAATCAATGCAAGCTAATACACGTTTTGGACTAATTGTCAGCAACATTAGTTCATATTTGGAATCATTTAAAAATGATTTTCACTCACATCTCAACCACATGATGTACAGATGTGTGCATATTTCTATGGAGTATGTCAATATATTTATATTTTATATTCATGCTAAATAAAGTCATTCTATCGGAAGATATTGTGTTATATAGCATAGATAAATATGTGTGGTATATGATTGATTTCATTCGTATATTCGAATCTGTTTTAACATGCTAGTTTCTTGAAATTCTTATTGTAAGGATGGATCCTGCCGTTTTTTGTACCCTCACTGAGTCTTGAGACTAATGTTCAAGAGGTTTATACTTTGAAATTATACACCGCCCAGGTCGATGCTGTACATTATAAAATGTGCAGCAAAACATACCTACACTGGATTTGTGCTCTTGGCATTCATCAGCAAGCCATTGAATACACAGAAGCCCAATAGTGTGATGTCTCGATTTATAGGCAGAACTAATATGCACAAAGTGGAACCCACAATCTGTACTTTAATTACAAACTAATGAACACCATATAATCCTTATTATCATCATTATCCTTGTCTATCGAGTAAAGAAGATTCACTCAAGACTTTTTCAGAAGAGTTCTGCCAAGTTTTTTTTCCAGCAGGGGGCGATGTTGTTTTGTGCAATTCCAATTGAGTCATTTGCAGGTAACATTTCAGCTTTGGGATGTTTGGCCAATACCCGTTAGATAGCATGTTTTTCTTTATATGTAAGCAAAGCAATGTAAGTAACAAAACAACTGCATTTTTAATTTATTTATTTAGGGTAATTTCTGCATAACGTACAGACCGTGTTAAATGTAAGCAGCAGTGCCAGTCGTGGCCAGAAAGAACTACAGACTCCCAACAGCTCAACCGACTGACCATCGCTCTCCTTCCTAATTGTGTCTGTTCCCTCCGTACTTGTTACAAACTCAACTGGTGATGACTCATTTCATCGGCTCCAGTTTAAGACCCTAATCACCCTCCTCTTTCCTACATGCGGTGAGCTCTTGTTGTCCAAACAGACAAATAAACAGAGACTATGTTTTTATTATTAAAACAAAGTAAACAGAAAATCATCTCCTCGTTCGCAGTCATCTGCTCTGTTGTCGGTTCTGAACCACTGGCTGTAATTCCACATTCCCCATTGAAGTGCGTCGTCTTTCTCTCGGACAGCAGCTATCGATTTCCCACAAAAGTGCAACTCATTGTATCGATGCCTGAGGAATGAAAGGCTGAGTGGGCTCTGAACTAGGCTTTGAATTGGCAGCCTTCTGGATTTTGGCTCGAGAAATCTACCACAGTGCCACACAGCCAGATTGTTACGTGACAGGTACTGCACGGCATGTAGGAAATGAACGTATGAATGTGAGCGTGTGTACGTCTGTACGTACGCAAGCACGTGTGCATGCTCACGTGCTTTTGAATAAAAGTCAAAGATTACTTCCCTTAAATCTTCAATTTGTAAAAAAAAAACTGACACTATCTAGGCCGTACACCTGTTAACGCGCAGCAGTGCGAAAGCTTCGGTTGTGGTAGCTCCTTATCTGACTAAGCGCAGGGAACGCGCTACAGCCACCATCCTGCCTGCTTCCAAAAGGGCTGCGTGCCAAATAGGAAAGGCTGCATTATCGCGTCCATTAACGGGCAGATGGGCCGTGATCAATGGTGGCGGCAGTTTTTTTATTGCTTAAGTGATCGCCTTGAGACCACCACCACCACCACCCATCCATCCAGCCCTTCCCTCCCCGTCCACCCTGTGGGGCACTACGCTCTCCGTGGTGCCGGAGCGGTGCAGCTGCCTTTGAGCGAGTGCCGCGTTCGTCATTTCCACTCGCAGCTTTATCGCAGTTGCGAGAGCGATGCCGGTGTAGCAGAATTATTCGCTGTCGCGTGGATGCGCTGAGACCTCGGTTCCCTGGCGAGGCTGCATCGCTTTGGTCACATGGGTGAGGAGTGATTGTTGTTCGTTTTGCGAATGCTAGACTTAGATCCCTGCCACGTGAATGTGGAACTTCCATGTCTGGCTCAGCGCTAGCAGCAGAGATGGGTAAAGCCCATTGCTCATTGGAGTTTTGAGGACATGTTACATGGGTGGCTTTGTTTAAGTTCACTTGCTCTGTCACACTGGTGAGTGCTTAAACCCAGTGATGCCTAGAAGTTCACACTGATATTGTTAGCGTGTGATAACGATTACTTTCATGCACCAGAACTCTGCCACGGGAATGTGTAATTTCCACTGCTTGCTTCGGGGCACCAATGGGAATGGGCACCACTGCCTTGCCCTTTCGAGCACCTCCCTAGGCACAGGCGTTGCAGTGAACATTCACAATGGAAAATGCTTTTGTGTTGTGCCAAGCTTCCAATAATACAACTAGACTATCATTAATTGCTACAAATTCGAATAAGCTGGAACTGCTCATCATGAGCATGTGTACTGCAAACGTCATTCTTTCTGCACGTGACGCTTTCATCAATGGCACTACCTCAAGGGGAAAACATATAGGCGACGTTTCGAGCAATGGCCCTTCACAGCAGAGAGATTGTGTGCATTATAGAATGTTCGACTATTATTCACTGAATCTCTGCAGCGTCTCTACCTCTCTGCGAAAGAGGTCCATTGCCCCATACGTTGCCGATTATACAAATGTTGTGTGTTTTTTTATCTTTTGGGCCAGCGTGTCATGGGTTCTTGTCATGCGTGTTCCTGCGCGGCACTGCATATGCAGTATCGCACGGTTTTTTTCTTGCTGCTGCTGTTGTTTACATCTGAACGTGTCTGCGCCCTCGTTCGTTTGAACGCGAAGGAGGGTATTCCTCCACGTCACTCTTTATTCCTGCATCGATCTCTCGCTCAATTACAGGGAATTACTCGCGCTCGGGACGCGGTGGACAACCTGAGGTCTCATAACCTCGCTCCCCCGGGGGAGAGCCGCTCTCAAGCGTCCTCGCTGGGCAGGGTGTCCGTCTGCAGCTTAAGCCGACCAGCAGGTCGAGACAACTTGGGAACATCATCCTCTTGACAAGGAGAACACTTCATCCGCTGAGGGATCGGGCACTGTAATAAAAAAAAAATCGCTTTAGGAAATAAAAAAATATAAAAAGGGGAGAAGGAAATCGTTTGTATAAAAGAAGTTAGTTGCGGGTAGTGGTGCTGACGAGACCGGGAAGCTATTACATCCCTGATATCATCGCCTCGTGTGGATCAAGTGCTAAGCTCGGCCGATTCGCCCGTGAGCAGCACCTAATCCACCGCGAACACTCACGTGCTGATTAAGTACTTCGTAGTGGCCCTTTGCGAAGCCACTGATGAAACTTTATTTTTCATCTCCCTGCCGCTTTGTGGGGGGCGAGCCATTTCCCGGCGAGGACCTGAGGATGAGTTCATCGAGCGGCGGTCAGAACATCCGGCGGCGTCCCGTGCGCATCTCCCCGCCACTTCCATCGCCGCCTCCATCGCCGCCGCGCCTGCAGCCACGACCGCCGCCGCCGCCGCTGCTGCTGCTGGCGGTGGCGGTGGCGGCGCTGGCGGCCGCGCTGGCGTCGCCGGGCGACGCTCAGGAAATGGTCTCCTACTCCCGCTCCATCCGCATCGAGGGCAACGTCTCCATCGGCGGGCTCTTCCCCGTGCACGCGCGCGGGCCGGGCGGCCTGTCGCCGTGCGGCGACATCAAGAAGGAGAAGGGCGTCCAGCGGCTGGAGGCCATGCTGTACGCGCTGGACCGCATCAACGCCGACCCCGAGATCCTGCCCAACGTGACGCTGGGCGCGCGCGTGCTCGACACGTGCTCGCGCGACACGCACGCGCTCGAGCAGTCGCTCACCTTCGTGCAGGCGCTCCTCGAGAGGGACTCGTCGGACGTGCGCTGCACCAACGGCGACCCGGCGACGTTCGCCAAGCCGGAGCGCATCGCCGGCGTGGTGGGAGCGGCCGCCAGCCCCGTCTCCATCATGGTGGCCAACATGCTGCGCCTCTTCCAGGTGAGGGCCGGCCCAAGCTGAAGGCCCCTCGTGGCCGGTGTGTGGGGCCTAGCGAGCTGGCCGCGCCGCTGGCTCAGGGCCCACCGAGGGAGATTAGTGCGGAACGTTAAGTATTGCCAGTTTGAGGGATATTTATCAAACGGATTCGTTTGATGTTGGTCGTGTCCGTGGTGATGACCCGCATCATTTATTCAGTCGTGTAGTTGTTGTCACGTTGCGACGGACGATATAAGAGATTGGTACCAGAAGGATGTGCACTACTGTAGGATATTTGCCACTACATACCACTCACTTTATCAACCCTAAGGGAATAAAGGGCTGAGAGTCGACCCCTGAAGATAGTAATATATTTTTCATTGCTTAGAAAATTCTAATTTTACGTCCAGTGTTAATACTGTGGCGCTTTGAGTGACAGATTTTTGCCAGAAAACGCCACATATGTAACAAATAAAAATTATACTTGACTGGGAATTGAACTCTCAACCTTTGATTCCTCACATGCTTTCACCACTCTTATCGATCATTTGAATGCACGGAAGACGCAAAAAGGCAACTGCAGCTACAGTATATATATAAAACGGCCACAGTTGAGCAGCTATGCTCGGCATTAGCAACAACAACAAAAAACACTGACGATACTATCCGTCATTTAATCCAGAGCGCTAGCCGCTAAGTGTGACACACCTAGCTGCGGAGATAAACAACGCTACATTATTTACGACTTCTTCAGCCGTACGTACGCACGATGCCGCGATGCTCATTGGCTCACGTCTACGTGCTGCTGCTGCTGCTGGGAACATTGGTGCTCAATGACTCCGGTTGAGAAATGCCAGGCGATATGATAGCCAAGGGCTTGTATATCTGGAGACCTTGGTCTTTTACTTCACATATATATGGAGGAGCGTGCATATATGTTGAGATGTTGTAACAATAATAATAATAATGGTTTATAACCATTTGTCAATCAACTGCTGGATGAAGGCCCCGCCCACCCCATGCCATGTCAGGTATTGGGGTTGTTTGTCCATACTTCACCAAACTCGCCAATGTAGGTTGGTGAAATGAGGAGAACAGAACTGATTAATATATCACTCACCACTGATCTTAGCCATGGCTGAGAATCTAACTCGGGTCACCTTGATCAGAGCACAATAGTATTTGCAATATCGTCATAATTATCATCATCTTCAGCCATCATCAATGCACTGTTTGATGAAGGCGTCCCAAACCACCGTAATCTCTCATGATACAGCAATCTAATAATCCACCTAGCACCTGCACAGGAACTGATTTCAATTTGTTATGTGCAGACAGTAAACCCCCTTTATCCAAATTCATAGAGGGACACTGTGCGTGATTCCTATAATTATTTGGATTCAGTTGCATTCTTTCTACTTTCAACTGAGCATAATCACAGATAATGCAATTACTGTTGCCGTCACTCATGGAATGCTTTCTCTTATCCTTGAAAAGGCTCGGATTATATGATGCCATCGCTGTTACTGTTGGGTCACTCCCTCTTGTTTGAGCAAATTCCTCTGATCGGAGCAAAATCAACGTTGCCAGGGAAGTTCGAGGTCACACTTCTTACCCACAAGACAACTCGGAGAATGTGAAGACTGGAGTACTTCCGGAATACCACTTGTGGCTGTCTCGTCTACACTAATCGGAATACGAAGAACTTCCTGACTCTTCCGGATCACATTTTCTACGTAACATTTTGTACAACGCGCGGATCACTGAGTGTGCACAAACAGCATCAAGCGTGTAAAATAGTTATTTTCATGAAAAAAAAACTCGTTTTACTGCCTAGGGGATGTGAACAAGTAACAATACCAATCTCTCGCCCAGGAACATTTTGACTGATTCTCCAAAACGCTCCCTCGGGTCCTGTTTGGAATCGTTTGGCCAATTAATGGGCATTTGTCACGTGTAGACTGAATTATCCATAGAAAGCTCACACACAGGAGTATGACCAATCCGTTGGACATTTTAGAGCTAGAAACACAAATGCAGAGGGTTTGCGAATCCCACATCTGATATCATAAGCGATATTCATATTCAATGCATGTTTTAAACAATGCAAAGGACATACATTGCATTTCACAGGCATCCACGCTTTACAAGATACAATTTCAATGTATATATCATTTAAATGTGACCACATCTCAGGATCATAGGCAAATTAACAAACGGAGTTCTTAAGTGTGAACTTGACCATGGTGCCAGCAGATGAGAATGAGCGACCTCCCTCCCACTGGGTGAAGGTCGATTGGGGGCTTCGATAAAAAAAGAGCCATGGTCGCTGGAGCGGAAAGAGCGCTCGTGTGGAATTGGCGTCGAGTGAGATGAGACGGGAGAGGTAAGCAGGGACGAGTCCACGGAGGATCTTTAAAACAGTTAGCGCAATGCTCAAATTGATCCAGCATTGGATTGGGAGGCAGTGGGGGGGGGATTGAGGTATCGGGGTGCCGTGATCTCATTTACGGGTGCGAGTGAGAAGTCTCGCAGCGGAATGTTGGATCATTCGGAGTTTTCGAGGCGCCCGCCAAAAACTGGAGCGTTCCCAGGACTCGGGGTGAGCGCCTCCTTTGCTGAAAATTTTAAGCCACGTGTGGGGTTTGTGGCGTTGATGGAAATCTGCGTCGGAAAGCGGCTACTGCGCTCTGAAAAGTTTTCCTTCCCCCCCCCCCAGTGGACACCTCGCACCGCGTTTTCTTGCACACGACTCGCCACGCTTTGCGAGGCGTGTGCAAATTGAGCGGAGTTGAAGGGAAAGCGTTTTAAGTGCATTTCATCACTTAGATTGGGTCCATTTAAGCAAGGTTGTGCTCACACATTCACCTGTGGCTCACTGAGTGTTAAAAGGATGAGATTCGTTCACGATGGGGGAGAGTGACGTGAACACAAAGAGACATGTTTGTATACTCAATCAGCAAGCATATCCATCACAATTAAAGCGTACCCGGTTGAGGCAGAGTATCTAACTTTGTGTGTTTTTGCAGGGTGAGGCGTTTGGGACAATTGTTTGTAAAGAGGATATGCATCCATACTAATTAAACTTTGATTGGGCCATTCATTTATGTAGCAGCTGCATGGGATAATCATGTTGCAAAGGCAGTCGGACATAATCAATTGGGATGCCATGCAGTGTGTGTTTTTATAAACCCAGCGGAGAAATTGTCTGGCTGAAATATTGATCTGGAATGCGAAATGACCATAGCAGAAGATGATACATTCCTGGACATAACACGTACCTACATGTGTTCTCTTTTCATAGGCCTGGGTAATGTTTTTTGTATTTACCCTGTTTCATGCACTGTGGATGTACCTTCCAGAATATATCAGTTTGGTTGTGATAAAATATTTAGAGCTCAGCTTGAGAAAAGTTTGTATCATATATATATTTTTTTACAAAAGTTTGTTATTACTCTTGTATGTGGCATGGATAGGTTTTGCCAAATGGCAACGAAGCAATGTAAATGTACAACACGTACATTTATTTTTTCTTCTTTCATGAAGTATATTTTAATCATGTTGTAAAATGTCACCGCTGAAGAGTGAAACTCATATAATAGCTATTGGACCTAATAAAGGGTTGATTTTGGGTTATGGATAATATTTGTTTGTGACAGCCTACTTGTTTACATAACCATTGGATTACTTATTTTATATATTTAGAAGTTCCTCATAGAATATTGCATGCATTAATACACTATACAATGCAATGCGATCACATTTTTTTTATTTGGTTTCTATGTGTATTTGAAAACAACTGCATCTCAAGAAGCTTTGCAAACAAAGACCAGGATATGTTGTTATTTACGAGAACATGTGTACGTTTAATAACACTTAATGGGTAGGAGAAGAGCCAGTGATACGTATCAGAGGAAAGGGAAGTATTGAGCCTGGACTGGAACAGGGGTAGTGATTCAGCAGCATGAAATGGGAAAGCAGGAGGCAATTGCAGCAGGTCAAGTGAGGGTTTCGTCAGAAAGGTTTGGTTGCTTGGACAGAGGGCACCCGAAGGGAGGGAGAGCTAAACAAGAGGGATAGACCCATGATAATGTTTTTTTTTGTTGTTGTTGTTGGGTTTTAGATCGCGTACATATGAAGATGCCATTAAACCCGCCACCACCCGACACGGCCGAAGAGTAAGGGTTGTCACGTAAACAAAACGTGCCAATTCGTTACTACTTTCAGCACACCGGTGTGTTGGAGAGTAAACTCGCAATATTTACTATTTGAGTATGGCGGGTTAACGACGCATTTATATTTACGCGATGTAACCCCAACAAACCTTTATTGTGAATAATATTGGTGGCAAAAGCCTACTACGTGGGAAACTGAAGAGAGGTCAAATAGGCACGGAACCATTGAAGTTCAACGTTCGAACAGCTTTGCATTGGTCAACGTAATTTATTGACACATTGATTTGATATCAACATCTGCCTCTTATGTTTCACTTAATCGACCTGAACGGAAGTTACAAATGGCAATTACATTTTATCCAACGGCAGACTGATTAATAATAACAATCAACGTGCTTCGTGCAGCAAAGCCAGCATCGTGTCGCGTGAACATTTTTTTTTTTCCAGCGGTGCCCGGCAGCTCCGAAACGAGCGGCCAGCTCCTCTGTACGTGTCATGATGAGACCAGCTATGGCACTTTAAAATCCAAATCGAAAACTCATTTATTCGGAACGGCTTGATGCATTGAGTTTGTTGTCCTCTCCTCTCACCCCAGCACCTCCGGTTGGCATCCGTCGGCGACGTGCGAAAGAAGTTCAACGTGCATACGTACACAGTGCTCATTCATGAGCCGGGATAACTGCCAAAAATCCACAGTGTTCCAGAAACCTACTTACTGTGCTACCCACGGAACAGACACCACCTAGCTGCTGTGAAGGCGCGTGTACCCACGCACGATCCACCAATCCTGCCTCTACGTCGCTGGATCACGGCCGTGCATCACGAGCAACGCACAGCGCCCATTCTTTA